TTTGGCAGAAATATGAGAATCACTGTCAGAGCCAGGGCCGGCACCGACATCATCAAGCAGGGCGACCCCGGCGCGGAGTTCTTCATCCTGGATTCGGGTGTGCCTTGGCTCCAGTCGAATTGTTTAGAGACTGTGCGTGGCATCATCCAAAGCTCGGCCGGTAGGCAAAGAAACACCAGGAAGGAAGCCAAAAACCAACGCTCCCACTCCTCATAGCAATCGAGGAGTGCGTGGCTGTCGTTACATCTGGAACCAGCAGCCAGGCGTGGACTGGGGCAAAGGTGCTTCAGGAAAGACTCGCAAACTGGCTTTTCCCAAAGCCCAAGGCATCCCTGAATCGGTGACACCCTCGAAACCTTGAGAATTGAACATCTTAGGCCGCGACGCCCTAAAACTCAAGACGCCCCGAACCGGGAATGTCCAGACGATGCGCCCATCCCGAACATCGCAAGCATGAACTGTCGCCGCTTGATTCGAGGCTGCAATATTTAACGCAATGTCTATTAAGCCCTCAACGCTAGATGGCGGCCTCGATAATTCCCCCGGAACGGCAGGAGGTGATGCGCTATAGCGCAGGAGACCTCTTCGGCGAGAAGGCAGGGAAGGGTATGTTGATGTCACGGCCGTGTTTATAGCGATTAGCCGGGTTTATAGCGATCAGGGATGGCGCAGGGCAGAGCATTCATGGCTCTACAAGGGCTTGATAGTTCAGGTTTGTCGTGATCCCATGATTTTACTCGGTTTCGACTACAACGAACAAGTAGCTACGAGGCAGGGCGATCCAACAAAGGACTCCTGTCCTGCGCTCCCCGGCCCAAGGCCTCCACCATCTCAGCCTCAGAGTAAACAGGCAAGAAGAAGGCACCAGTCGAGGATTCCATGCAGGCTTAGCTTTTGGTTTCCTGCTTGGGTCGTTGGCCTCTGGGCCCTTCCGAGGCGCTTTTGGAGTCCGCCCCACGCGGAGCAACGACACCTGGCGGGACATGTGGCGATGTGAGAGACGGGTATTTCATCATAGAAGAAGGGCCACCTGAGGGGCTTTTGTGCGCTTTTTGAATCCCTAGCTCTCCAACTCTTGGCCCACACCCAAATAGAAGTGTCGGAGGCCTGGGTTCAGCTTACCCTACATGCCGAAATCTGGGTCTGCCGTGATGTGCACAGTCAAACGAGCAACAACACAATGTCGAACAACCCTCAAACCCTCTGGCTTAGCCCCTTTCTCACCTCTCTGCTTGCGAACTGCCCAGGATCTCTGCAGAGACGGACGTGGTGACATATACGTTCCTGAGTCTGCAGGAGTTCAGTTGGAAGAGAGTTCGAAATCCTCTTTTAAACACCCATGGATAGACTGAATGCAAAAGCCTTGAAGCCTGACCCTTTGAAGAGGCGTCTTTCTAGAGTCGAAGCAACGATTCCTAAACCGAAATCTGGTTTATGAGACTTCACGCGGATTTGATCAAGGTACAATGAAGCAGCAGACCGTGAGGGTAGAAAGCCCTGCAACCCACAGGCTTCCCAGATTCAAAGACTGTAGCTTACATGAAAAACCCGAAAAGACCCTACACTCAAACAGCCCATAAGCATCCTGAACTAAGAAGCCCTTACAAAACCCTATACTAATACCCAGACTTGAGCCTTGGTAAAGCTTCAGTCCCGAGCTGAGAGAAGCGAGGCTCACGAGGGAAGACTTCGAGGCCGAGATGGGGCCAATGAGCCAACTCAAGGCCCTTAGGGGGCTCGGGTATTGGCAGCATCATTACAATTAGGGTACTACCCTTATGACACGATTGCGATGATTGTTGATGCCTGCTACTGCTACTACTACTCTGATTAGCTTTCTTGTTGATTTTGCCAATGAAGTTTGTTCTTGGCATTGCAACTGCCATTGTCACGAAAGCTAGCTCTGTGGAGCTTGCGGGAGTTGTCGTTCACCACTTCAGCAACAGCAGTAGAGAAGCAGGTCAGGTTTCAGTCTGGGAGCTTACCTGGTAGTTACCGATCGAGGGGTTCAGGCTGCTTCTGAACGAGCTTGCTTTGTGTAGCTACCCCGGCACTCAATCCTGTGAATTAGCAGGGCTGAGATGCTATACGGTATAAGTCTCAAGCCCTCATGCATAAGGCCATGAGCTCTTCAAGCCCTGGAATGAGCACCGCAGGATTGAAAGATTGGTCGAATCACGAGGCGCCAACCAAACTATAAGTCTAGATTGCATGTCTACGAACCTGCAAAGATCATACGAAGGCGCCTGGTGAGCATGAAAAGCCTTAAGCTGTGAAACACCTCCAGGTAAGGAGCCTGCCCACAGTCAAGACCATCTGCATCTGTATCTAAACCATGGGCACTGCAAACTGTAACAGCAAAAGCAAGACACTCGGAGAACTGATGCGAAGAAAGCCCCAACCTCGGAAGCTGAAGCGGTCGACTCCTTGGCCCGAGGCGGAGTCCTACCTCGCAGATCCCAGGAAACTCCTGGCCGACTTCTACCTCAGAGGTCACCCTGGGTCGATTGCGCCCACAATCAAAGCCATGAGTAGCTGAGAGCAAAAGTAACAATATGCCCGCAGTACTGAGCACAGCAGGGTTTGTCCAGTCCAGGTCCCCGGTTGAGTTTCCAGGCTCACAGTTGGTTCTCCTTGGGTCGGCATCGTTCGGGCGTCAGGCTTAGGGCATGGGCTACGAATCAGCCGAAGATCCTAGCCGCCGCTGTTTCCATAAGGAAGAATGCATGGCATCGGTCTCAGCTACGGTTCTGCAACTCTCGAGGCTATCCGTAGCCTCTGAGACGCCTGAAAGCTCGCAGCAAGTTCGACAGCCCGAAAAGTCTGTACTTGTCAGGCGACACGCGTGGGCCCGGCGGCACCCTGAAACGAAAGCAGCTCCGCTCAACAGTTCAGGGATTGCGTTCGTCTCGGGCACAACCCTTGCACTGTCCTTCTGGGCAAGCTTTGCACGGATTTGCCAATTTTTTGGCGTTTGCGTTTGTTGGCCGACGATGCACGCGAATTCTGCCGCTGATTTTTGTGCATTTTTCTGAGAGAGTAAGACTCTTACGAACATTCGCCGCGAGGCAACCTCTAGGGTCATGGAAAAACATGCCACAGTGCCTTACAGCTTCAATCCAAGCTCCGTAACCCGAACCATGGCCAAATCAGCCCAGGGGGCTGCAACCCAACAGCGTGAAGTCGCAGCAGTCGACATGGTCCCTGGCTTGCACTGGCGGACTGGCGAGGGCTTGGCGCTATTCCAGCAACCTGTGATGCTGTGTAGGCAGGCCCCAGCAGATGAAGAACTGAGTGGCTAAACGCATGACGAAGGAGAAGCTCTCCAACAAACAAGTAAACATATCTGCACCACAGCCACTGGCCACCACAAGTCACCAGCACCACAACGGCCGCCCGGTCCGTCTAAGCCGCCTGATGATATCCACGTTTGTTGACGAGTGGCGCTGACCACCCAAAGCAAAATTTGCACGCCCAAGTATGGAACAACTCCCATACAAGCCTGAACCCCTGAACCTGTTTTCCATGTTAGGTGCTGTTAGGTGCTTACTGCCCCGTGGGCTCAGCAGTAAGGCACGCCGAAACCCGAAGCAGCAACATTTTCCGCCGCGGAGACAAGGTTCGTAGTCTACCGGCCCTGCAGCCGCGACAGCATCGCGAAGATGCTAGGCTGGGCTGTCATCCCTACACCCGAAACCCAGCTTGGGGTTCAGGGAGCTCGCCTCAGGGTTTCTTGTGCTCAGCACGGTTCTCTGAAGACTCTGTTGCACCGTGATTTCCCCCTACGGCATCGCTTCAAGTTCCCAGCAAGCAGACACCCCTCGATGAGAAGAGAGAAGAGGTTCAGACAGCTGTAAACAGTGCTGAAAATTTAAATTTGGTACCAGCACCAATGCCTAAACTACGTTGCTTGGAGCCCCAAGCATCCGAGCTCCGACAGGAAAGGTGGGAGTGGGGAAGGGCCTCAATGTGAAGGGCAAGTCCGCGAAGAAGAATCGGCTGTCTGCCTTTGCGCCTTGTCCCGTGATGAGGTCCTTGCAATCAGCTGGAGCTTCGGGATGGTTTAGGTCAGTATGCAGGTCTTAGGACGTATGTCGAGGTGCATGGCGTCGGATGTTCGGGGCCGAGGTTCACTGTCACCATGTAGGGTACAGGGAGCTTTGCGAGCCCACTGCCGAAGCCGGACAGTGCAGGAGCCCAGACTCACAACCATAAAGGGCTAGCTTTTTGAAGTACTTGCATTGTCTCCCAGAGTGAAGTCTAATCCGTGTATCAAGGGCAAGTGCTGAGTGATGCGTCTTCAAGCCGGCTGCCGAAACGCGTAGTCACGGTGCCCTAACACCCGCAAGTCCCAAACCCCAACCGCCCGTTGTGGAGATCGTTACCGCCGCCAAGAAAGTAATTCCTGTACGCAACCCTCAACATACGCAGGAGCCGCAGGTACAAGTTGGTAGAATCCTTTGTTTGCCTCTCTCCGTGTCTATCTCTATCATGATCCGCATGTGTGTATGTGTGTATGTATGTATGTATATATATATATATATATATATATATATACATATATCCATATGTATTTGTGTGTATCCTCTATATATATATATATATATATGTATGTATGTATGTATGTATGTATGTATGTATGTGTATATATATATATACATACACACATACACATACGCATTTATACTTATATACCATATATATGTATACATATATATATATGTGTATATATATATATATACAAATATATACATATATGTTTTTGCGTACGTGCAAGTGTTTTTTTTGAATCGGAGTCACCGAGCACCTCCAGCCTCCAACCCCTCAGCAAGCCCCTCAGACCGAGCTCAAAGATACAGAGCCCAGAGCCACCCAAGCCCTTAGCGGCAAGCCCAAAGCCCCAACGTCTTGTGTGGTGCCTGAAGCTCTTGGACTTGCGATGTGAGTTCTGCAGCCTTGAAAGCGACGCAGTGGGAACAGGCATATGACCCTGAACCACAATGCAGAGAAGCCTTGAAGCTTTCCCCAAAGAAGTCCGCTCCCAGGTGCCGTTCCTGCAAATCAGCCACGTGTCTGCATTGGCTCAGAGGGCTTGAGACATGAAGGGCGGTTTGACGTGACGGCTGGTGGGTTCAGGGTTTCAAGCTGTAGAAGTGTGGGTTGAATCTCCGGACCCTGTGCTTACAAACTTCCACCCTGAACTCGAGTACCCTCGGACCCTACATCCATAACCCAAACCCAAAAGCCCCTAAATCTTCTCATTGCGAGGCAAGAACGAGCACAAGACGCAGGTCGAGGCTTCCCCCGCCGATGCCCGGACGAAGCGGCTGGCCTCGCATTTGGAGCGGCGATCTTCTGCGGGGTTTAGGGCTGCAGGGTTTGGGGCGTCTTTCGATGTCCTGGGCTCGGTGCTCCTTTCCCAAGAGCTGGCGAGCCTGCGGCCGAGGATCTTCTACAAGACCGTCGCCAACCGGGACTTTGCACATCAGGCGCTCCAGAAGGTTCTCAAGGCGGGCTCTGTCACAGCCAAGCTTTGCTGCACCAGCCAGGATCGGAAGCATGATGAATACTGGCTGTATCTGCAAAAGAAACTCTTTGCGATTCTTGGTCAGAGTTCGGATATTAAGCCAAAAGTCGCAAAGCTTATCAACTTGTACATCGACAACCGCACATAAGGGACCTGGAAGCAGTCCAAGGCACACCCTCTCTCTCCCTGACTTGCGGAGATACGAAGTGAGACAGTTGATGGTTGCTCGCACGGGCTTGAGATTCTGGATAGTTTCGAGTCCTCAACATCTTGGAACACTGCAGTAGGCTGCCGTCGATGTGCCCCAAGCTTCTGACAAGCTCACAAGCTTTCCGCGTGGAAGGAGCATTCCCTGAAGATCAAAGTCCCAGCCGCCTGCCAGCAGTCAACTTTGGCTTTGGCTAGGGCTCAGGGCGGAGTTGTAGGCTCGAAGAAGCTTGAGAAAAAGAGGCCTTGTCAAGGAGGCCCGACATGCGAAATTTCAGGGGTTTGAGTCCGGTGGGAGCTGATGGTAGTACTAGAAAGAAGAAGGCAGAACACCTAAATTGGAACCACAGCAACGACAACCATCGCAAGTCCGACCTCGACTGCGACTGCACAGATTGACACATCAGATGTGAGACATGCCCCATGTCCTAGAAAACTGAGGCCCTTGCTTGAGACTCTGCACCGCGAAACATACCATCTGTACATGCGCAGCAAAAGACTACTACTGTCGCCGTCAACTCCTCATTCCAGCTCAAGTCTGTTAAGCTTGTTTCCGCCCTTGAGATTCGGTGAACCACGGAGCTAGAGCCGCAACAACAAAGCCGACACCAGAGGAGATCAAGCTCATCAGCAAATACGAGCCGGTTTCCTTCGGCAGCGACCCCAGCCAGTGCTGAACTGTGAACTTGAAGTGCCAAATCATACGCGGTTTAGGTTGCATGTATGTTGTAGATTCGTAGATGTATTCACACGAAGCCTTGAGGAAGAGTTTCAGTCATCCAGGGGACTCACGTCGGAATAGGGTTCTGCAAAGGAGACAACATTGATATTCGGGTACCGTATTTTTTTTGTCAATTTTTCTGGTTTTTTTCTGTCTATTTTTCTGGTTTTCGGTTGAACGCAAACGAAAGAAAGAAGGAGAGAAACGGAAGCCAGAAAGAAAGAAAGGAGCTAAGAAACAAACAAAGAAAGCAAGAAAGGAAGACACCAGGAAGAGGAGAAAGAAAGAAAGGACGAAGGACAGAAAGACAGGAAGGAAGGAAAGAAGGACGACAGAAAGAAAGAACGAAGACGGGAACAAAGGAAGAAGGCAAGAAAGCAACACACCAGAATGGGGAGAAAGAAAGAAAGGAAGGAAGGACAGAAGGACAGACAGAAGCAAGGAAATAAGAACGCAGCAAAGACAGAGAGACAGAACAGAAGAAATGAATATCGAAAGACAGAAAGCCAGCAAGGACGACCAGAAGGAGTGTTAGAAAGAACGGAGCAAAGAAAGAACCCAAGAACGAAAGCAGGATAATTAGACAGCAAGAAGCAAAGACCAGAGACCCCGCTGTTTTGAGCTGTGTGCAAGCTTGCTTGACAGCATAGACGTCGTTCTGGAAACCCACCCTGCATAAAATGTAAGTCTTCTTGAAACAATGCCATTCACCATGCAAAGAGTCTCTTTGCAAATGGAAAGCCTGCCCCGGGCGTGCGAGAGTGCCGAGCTTGCTTGACAGCATATATGCGTTTTGTTGAAAACCCCACCATGCGAGCATCCTCATGAACTGCCCCCCTTAAACCGCCCCGCCGCATAGATTTTGTTGTAAACCAGACATGCGAGCATCGTGATTGCAAATGGGGGGGGCTGCGCCCCCCCCAACCCCCCCGCTGTGTAAGCTGTGTGCCAGGTTGCATGACAGCATAGGAGTCGTGACAGCACATACGCATGTTTTTACCAACCACGCGAGCATCATCCTTGCAAATCGGGGGGGCTGCGCCCCCCCAACCCCCCCACTGCTTTAAACCATGTGCAAGCTCGCGTGACCGCAGCTTTGCTTGACAGCAGATATTCTTGTTTAAAACCAACCATGCGAGCATCTTGATTGCCGCCCTTAAACCCCCCCGGCCGCATGCGATTTGCGGTAAACCAGCCATACGAGGATCGTGATTGCAACTGGAAGGGGTTGCCCCCCCCCAACCCCCCCGGCTGCTATAAGCCGTGATTGCATGACAGCATAGCAGTCGATGCCTAGGATATCCTAGGACCTAGGATGAATCTTTTACTTAGAAGCAGCACCCTTCACCTTGTGAAAAGTGTGATTGCAATTGGGAAGCATGCGCCGGGCGTGCGAGAGTGGCATGCTTGCTTGACAGCACATACGCGTTTTTTGACCAACCATGCGAGCATCATGCTTGCTAATGGGGGAGGCAAGCTCGAACACTGGAATCTCCCAGTAGCTTGACGCACAAGCAAACCCTGAACAAACTACACTCCCGCGACAGCTTGACGCACAAACAAACCCTGAAAACTAGAATCCCCCCAATAGCTTGACGCACAAACGAACCCATATCCCGCCAAACCTTTTAAACATAACCTGGCCGCCAAACCTTAAAGAAAAAGACTCCACCCAGCAGCAACAACAACATGAACACCAAGAGCAGTAGCAACACCAGTAACAAATAACACCAAAAGGCATGCAACCACAACGAGAACAACAGGAAGAACAGCAACAACAACGACACCACCAGCAGCAAAATGCAACAACAGCACCAACACCAGCACCAGCACCAACACCACCACCAACAAGCACAACAACAACAACATCAACAACAACAACTACTACTACTATACTATTACTATTACTATTACTATTACTATTACTATTACTATTACTATTACTATTACTATTACTATTACTATTACTATTACTATACTATACTATCTATTCCTATTCCTATTCCTATTCCTATTCCTATTCCTATTCCTATTCCTATTCCTATTCCTATTCCTATTCCTATTCCTATTACTATTACTGCTGCTACTACGACTACTACAACTACTGCAACTACCACTACCACGACTACTACAGCTACAACTACAACGACAACAACATCAACAACATCATCAACACCAGCAGTAACAACAACAACACCACGAAATCCGTACAAAATGCGACAATGCACGGAAAAGCCGATTTTCCCGAGGAACAACCAAGGTAACGTATGTTTTCCTGCTGAAAACCTAAGGAAACGACACGGAAACCGTAGGAAAACAGTGTTTTCCCTACGAAAAACCAAGCAGGCGTCTCTCCACCCAGACCGCAACCGCAGAGTCTTAGAGTTTCAATCCAGAAGCTTCGCGGATGCTATAAGCGCGCTGGGCAAAAAAGAAGTGTGAGAGACACTGCAGCATTGTGGCAGGAGCTTCTGACAGTCCAGCAGCTGCCGCGAGACGAGCGAAGAAGTTTGGGAAGCTTTGAAACCGAAAAATCCACAAAAATCCAGAAAAAATACGCAAGGAAGAATTCCAGTCAGAGGTGGAGAACGGTCACGGCCACCAGGCTAGATTCCGAAAACCAAGGAAAGCATAACTAAAACCAGGAAAATATACAAAAAAAACCAGAAAAATACACAAAAAAGAACTCCAGTCGGAGGTGGAGAACGGTCACGGCCACCAGGCTAGATTCAGAAAACCAAGGAAAACAGAACTGAAACCAGGAAAATATACAGAAAAAAACCAGAAAAATAGACAAAATCAATACTCGCTCCTTGATCTTCACACAGGTTCCTCTAGCTGTGGGGCCTGCCTCAACTGAACGACCGGCTGTTCGAAGTGGCTACTGGTATTGTTATTATCGTCACTGTAAGTGGTAATGGTAGTCGTAGTAGTCGCCGTACTACTCCTGCTACTACTACTACTACTACGACGACGACTACTACAACTACTACCACTACTACTAACATATTGCCAGTATCATTTGTGCGTATTCTTCTTTTGAGTGTGTAGATTTCAGTTCCTCAAGAAACCCTCGCAACAGCGCCCAAGGCTTGGATGTGCCAGAGCCGCTCATGCGGGAGGTCTACATCATGAGGCGCCGCGCAACACAAGACTTAATAACTGAAGCCTGAGCCGACACGAAGAAACCCTTTAAGTGATGAACACCGAGGCCCCAAATGAATCCGAGCGTTTGTTCATAATCGTTGGCTATGTGAATCAAAGAGGGGTTATCATGTTTATCAGAGTGGCAGCAACTAGTCCCCCAAAAGATTACACGCCTGTTTGTACTTTTGTTTCGTCACAGACAGTATACATCGTGCATCGTCTTGTTGTCATGCATGTATGTTTATTGTTTCTCGTTTGTTTGGGAAATTACTGCATACATACTAGATGAGTTCGCAGGGCCCAGGCCTGGAGGCAAAAACCCTGAAACCTAGAAACCATAAGCCGCTAAATCCCGCAAGCCCCAAGCCCAAACCGAAACCTAAGACCCCTAAATTTAAATACATACATCCTTCACCACTCCGTAGATCCTTTACCACTGTACAAGTCCCGAACACCCCCCCTGAGCCAGGCCGGACATCTCCCCGATTCTGGGCTGGGAGACGGGGAGAGACTCCGAGCCGGCCTTTATGGACATGCGCCTCGTCGCATGAGTCGAGGGCTTCAGGTGCCTTGGGACACATCATGCTCGAGCGCAGTCGTTTGTAGGTAGGAACAGGAAGTTGTAGAAGTACATCAGCACGTGCTGCCGAAAGGCCTTACGAGTGTTTCGATCTTCTAAGGATTCTAAGGCTCAGGGTTTTAGAAAGAGGAACCTTTGACTCTGTGTGTTGATCGATGTTGGATTCCAGTTTTTTTCTGGTGCAGTCCGTCTTGGCAGTGTCAGGTGTTTTGTTCTGGAGCCGCAGACCTCAAACTCGCTGAGCCCTTGGATGGCTAAAAGCCCGCAGACCCAAGACCAGGAATCTTCATGCGGTTCGCGATGAGAAGACGACTCCCCAGGCCCTTCCGGAAGCGGGGCTTTCTGCAAAGGGTCTCCCCAGTGCCATGCAATCGCTGGTCGAAGGCTTTGCATGGAGGGACGGTGGACGATCAGTAGCCTAAAGACCCACGAAAGTTTGATACGGAAGCATGAGGGAAACATCGTATACCACCTGAAGCCGTGAAAGCTGTAGCGAAGCCTTGACCTCAGGATCACCTTCTGAAGGCATACTAGTCATCAGATCGCCAGCTACTGGCAATGCCAACAGCAGATGCATGTTTGTTCTGGTTGAGATTACTGCTGTTCAATTGGGCTGAACATTGTAACATCATCATCACAGCCAAGACTATTGCACCGGAGGCAAAGCAACCCGGCCATGTTTTGGCAAAAAATATGAAGACGTCCGGAGCAAAATTATAGAAACGCCCCTCAAGCCTGACCCCAAAAACCTTCAATCTGCCACAGCACATCGCAGGTGGTCTTGTACCAGTTCGATTCCGCAGACCCGATGATGCTGGGCATGTAAAAAGGTTTGGAGCACGGCTCCCACTTCTTGCGTAGTCTCCACAACCAGCACCTTCAACTCAAAAAGTACTATGGTGAATTCCCGCTAAAAGCCGGTCCCTGGTCCGCTGCCTCGGCCTGTAAGGCGTTCCAATTTGGCTCACTAGGCAGACACTAAGGCCTGCTGAATTAGACGTTGCTTCATTGCAACTCTGATGACGCACTGCGTGTTTATGGCCACGCTTCCATAGCAACTTTAAGAGGAAGAAAAGAGGATAACCAGAAGCCGAAATGCAGTTATCATAGTGAAAGACCAAAGAAACTCACACGGTCCGTACATTGACAACAAACCCCAAAATTCCTCACCCCACACCAGTTTCACCAGATGCTGAACCCGCCGTAGATCCTAAACATGAGCACACTGCTACAGCCCGAAAAACTGCCACAGGACCAAACTTCTCCCCCCCTTCCCCCTCAACAAAAAGCTGGACCTTACGGTGCAGCCCCAAAGGAATCCCTTGGGACTCCTCATCGCCTACGCCGAGAGCTCGGTGAAGCCCGTAGTCTCCGACTTCGACACCTTCACCGTGGGCGACGGGACCGAACAGTTTGCCAGTTTAGGGGGTCATATGTATGTAGACTTTAGGGAGTTTTGAGGTTGAGGGTTGAACCGGGGGGTTGGGATGGTGTTCATCCAGTTCTGGAGACGGCCAAGCTCACCATTTATTTCGAGCCGGAACGTTGCGAGTAGAACGTGGAATCCCTGTCTAAACACGGACTGTCTCTGCACCGCCCGAGACCTTGGAGCCTGGAGGCCGCACATCTTACCGAACCCTTACAAGATTCTCCCGACTCCAAGCTGCGATAGGCAATGGCACCCGCGATCACAGAAGCGACCCTGATCATCAGCGGCGTTTTCATCGTCTTCATCTGTTGTCATCATCCTCGGCATCACAGTCATTTTCGGTCGCCGACTTTGAAGTCTCCACAGCCTGGGTTTCAAGATCTTTTGTTCAAGGCACAGTTTTGGACCATGTTGCGGAGCCCCGCAACTATCCCCGCATAGTTTCGAGAGCCATCAACCTTCAACTCCGCATCAACTTCTAAACCCCGTAAGTTGCTTAGCTAGATAAGCTACAACCGTAGCATGGACCTGGGGCAACTCCCAGGTAGCAAAGGCTTCCGTTACGCTGGATTTCCCGAGAAGCAGCTCCCTGCCAAGAAACGGGCAGGGGCACAAAGAAGAGCACGGGCTGTGTGGCTTTGGGCGGTCGGTTTTCTTATCAGGCTGCATTGTACGTGTTCGGGCTTGAGGTTTTAGGTTTCGAGTTCTCCCTCAAGGCCCAGGCTAGGCTTTGACACACAGGGCTAGGGGAGGACTACCAAAAGGGTCCCGTTCAAGTTGGGAGCAGAAGCTGTTCCACTGAAGTGTTCGATAAAGCAACCCTGCATACTTCATCATCCGAAGTTTCGGCAAAAGGTGTTTTCAGTAGAGGTTTCGCGTGAAGCTTCGTGATGGGTTCGTTTCGTGCAAAGGGGTCTTCCTTGGCATGAGTGTCATCGCTGAGGATAGAACTGATCCACTGGTCTCTGAAGCACACCAAGAGGCTGCTCGAAGCTCCCGACCACAAAGGCGAAGTGATGACACGCTGGTGCTTGCTTATGGCTTAGGTTCACAGAGAAGAGTGAGAGCTTTGGGAAAGATGACCACTGACAGCAGTACATACAAGATCCCAGTCCAAGTAGCAGCGCATCAGCCCCTTTGGCCTTTAGTCTCCGAACTCTCCCTAGCCGGCCAGCAAGGCAGGCCCTACAAACGACACCTAGATGCTGTTTCCCCCAACTTCCGACTTACTTGGAGGCTTTTTGGACATGTACTCAGTACCCCCTGTAATCTAAAAGTCCATCGCCCTGACAACGTATGTCTGAGAGTGTTAGCAACAGCAGTTTGCCCTCGCAAGGACTGCACTTCCGTAGGCAACCCTCAGCAAATTGACTCCCGAAGCCTCACACTTCATGTTCGATAGCTATGCAAGTGGCATGAAGGACCTGAGCAATCTAAATCTGAGGGAGTGAAATCAATGATCCGTGTGCCGTAAACGTAGTGTAACGGAGTTGCAGGATGGACGTCCCGGTGGCTCGAGGTGTTGCAGCTCGTCTTCTTGTCCAGGGCCTGAAAACCCACCAAGCTAGCTTCTTTGTGTTGACTCCGCACATTGAGTTTTCAGATGGGTTTGCTTGGAATGGCTCAACAAGCATTTTGAAGTCTAAACCATTCAATTTTTTAAACTCAAGGAATCCAGGCATACTCAGCACACAGAAACATTAGTCACTAGACCCCTCAGCTTAAAAGCCCAAATGCCAGAAGCTGCAAAGCACCCTTCCTGAAGTCCTCTCCTGCTGCAAAGCCCTTGTAAACACGTGTCACTAGGCTCGAGGGATGGGCTTGGACTAAGTCGGTTCGAGGGTTCAGGATGCAGGAACACTTCGGGGTCAAGGTGGCTGGATGCCTTAAGCCTTAAGCCCAAGCCCACAACAGCCGAGGAAACAAGAAGCGAATCAGGCACTTCGGCAGCAACGGCAGACCTGCTTTGAGGGGCTTCCCGCATCACCCAAACCCATCATGTGCTTTCTGTCTTTTGTCCTCTAGACCTAGATAATCCGAGATATATCTCCGGAGAAGTGTGCGAGAATTAAAATACCTAACATATATATATATATACACACACACATATGTGCGTGTGTGGTATTGATATCTTTGTATGTATCATAGTTGTGTCTCTGTGTGTGTGTGCGCGTGTTACGTTCTGATTCTGAGTATCTCGAATAGGCCGCCACAGACAGCAGGAAATAAACCCTACTGGCCTTGACGAGCTGAAGACGAGTTAAACATGCGAGCCTCAGCACAAGATCACATAACGCCCCGCTTAGAGGCCCAAAAACCCAGGAAAGCTTTCTTCCAAGCCTTGTAAAGAGCCTCAAAGACGTGGCTGCAGCTTACGCTGCTCAGGGTTTCCACCCCAACGTGCCCAAGTTCGGCTTCGGCGACGATATCTCCTGTAGCACCTGGGCCTCAACGGGCACCTCGAGATTTCTGCAAGATCAATCAATGACTTCTGCAGGATTCGAAGGGTTCGTTGTGGCGGTTTGAGACGATTGTTCGGGGGAGGCCCAATCCGCGGCCTCAGACAGCTCGGACGGAGCCCCCAGGTCTTGTGGAGGACGTCGTGCACGAAACGGAGGCCTGTGGAGCCGTACGGAGCTTAGCGACCTGTCTCGGCACAATCCGAGTCATGGGCTCAAGACCTGCTTTTGGGGCCGAGGGTTGAGAAAGTTCATTTTAGGGGGTTTGTGCTCTACAGCTGACGGACCAGCCCAACCTACACGGAATACAAGTGTGTATGTGTCTCTCTGCGTCGTGATTGGAGCCATCGCTTCTTCTTGAGGTGCGTCACGGCGCGGAGTGCTTCAATTTCTACTTCCCACAGGAGCTGGACCAGGACCGGACGAGGGCCGACGGGCTTGAGGCTTTCAAGCTTTGAGGGACTGCCCCAAGTTCAGAGTTCTACTGAACCATCGTAAAGACGCATTATAACTTGTAGCATCTCAAACAAGTTGTAGTCCAAGTTCGCAAGTTGTTACAATCTCCACATTGCCCGACATACTCTAGACCCAGACCCGACGATTCGAAAGAGCGAAGTCTCGCGGAACCATCCAGACAGCTTGCACCCTGCGAAGGAGTTTTTGATCGTTTGGGACGGCTTCAAAGATCCACCGTGGAGGAGTGTGCGCCCCAGGACAGCTTGAAGTCCTTGAGCATGGTTCTCTCTTTTAACGGACATTCGGCGAGTTCATGTCCCCTGCTAAGATGTAGCTTACAAGGCGCTTACACGGCACTAGGCGAAAGCTGAGCTCAGCTCAACTCGAACAAGCCAGAGTTGATGAGTAGTATGCCATCGCATGCCAACTCATCGAAAACCGCAGCCAAAGTGGAACACAGTGCGGGGGGAGGAAGAAGTCGGGGTAGGGGACAGGGTGGCAGTTCGTGTACCTTCGAGTGTTTACAGGCCACCTTGCGCAGTAAGACGACCCTTTGAGAAGGAAAACAAAGGCTTGCGTTACGTCTTCGTCGTCGTTGTGGTCGTGGTTGTGGTTGCGATTCACGGATCTGCAACGGGCACCGAGCTCCTCGAATCCACCCTAATCGCCTGGCCGACTCCGACACTGACTCTAAAAGAACGCAGTCCACGCGCCAAGACGTCAGCGAACTCGAGCTCCGGGACTTCCTGAAGAAGAGGGTCGACGACGGCCCGGGCCCCCTCTTCTTGGGGGCAAGGATTGAAGTCTTCGGGTCTGCAGGAATGTTGGGCTTGGCGCTGGATCACGAGCAAGAAGCGTCCGGGACGTTTTAGGCCAAGGGACCGGGATTCTAAGCCCTTCGCCTGTGACGACCTTGCACCTCAGAGCCAGACGTCTTGAAAAGCCAAGCATTCTTCGTAGGTTCGGCCCTGATTTTGTTGCCGAGGCTACACCTTCCCTTTCAACCCGGTCTGGCCGATACGGGATTCAGGAGACCGATTGTGGGCTCAGATTGTGGTGTCGTTTTGGGCTTGATGTCGGTGCCGGAGGATGAAGGCTTCAGGGGCAGCGTGGAGCTCATGTTTGGCTGGTGGGTTGCAATCACACACGATTTCTTCGCGAGCCATGTTTGCGTTTTCTTGACATCGCGTGCAACGGCGCTAGTAGCCACGCAGACTATCCGAACAACACTTGAAGGCGACTTTTTTAGACAGGGCTGCAAGAGGTTTCACTGATACAGACGCTCCGAATTGCATTTTGGGTTCCAGGGCCGTTACGACGATGATGCACGGATTGAGAACGGTCGAAGGGGGGCGACTCGATTGTACTTCTCCGCAGAGTGAATGCGGAGTCTCCACAGCCGCAGTTTGCAACACCGTGGCTTGGGAGTGCAAGGTTCCCAGCTCCGGACTCCCAACGGTTGTCCCAACCCCATAGGCTCAAAATCTCACAAACCCGCCGGCTGCCTAAGGGCCTAAGGCCCCAAACCCAAAGCCCGAGTCCAAAGCCAAAACTCCCAAACCCCCACGCCTAAATCTACCTCAGCTGACTCAACTGTAGATCCTCCATGCCCAAAGATCGAATTCTCTCCCGCAGGCTGGTATGAAGTTGTACAGAAGCTGAGGGCCACCAGCGAGGCCACAAAGCCAGCCAGATTTCTGCTTCTGAAGGCTAACATGTTGTAATGTCTCTTATCATGCAAAGAGTCTTGTAATAGTATTTATGGTAGACGCTCTTTCAGAAGTCATTGTCTTCGATGTGCATCTTTTTCGGCTGCTAGGGTTGGGATTCAGTTCTGAGCTGTTAGGATTCAGGTTTTGGGGGCTTGCAATTCTTCGGAGGTTGACGGGGTTGAGGATTTGAGTGGTGGTGGTTCGGGCCTGTTCACGGCCTGGCTCGCAAGGAGGAAAGGCCGACCTCTAGCCAAAGCGGCATCCGAGCGAGTCTACCTTCCAGGGACACCGAGAGTTTGATTGCGTGGGGCCGCAAGGCCTTAGATCCTCCTATCCCCTCGATTCCGTGGCCCACCCGCGAAGTATGCCGTCATCCCCGCAGAATGCACAAAGCTCCGACGGCCTCAACCTGCCTTGGCCAAGGGCAAAGCCACCTTGGAAAGCTGGTATCCCCCCAAGACAGGCCGGGAGAATGTATGAGATTTCCACAATGCCGATATGCCTCGCCATCTCTCAAGCTTTCTTGCTCAGCCTGGCCTGAGGAGTGTTGCAGTCGTGAGGTCTGGTAGCGAAACGGATCATTTACAGAGAAATCGACTCCTATAAGAGATGACATAAAGACACATGCGTCATATTAAGCAACACCGACTTCCATCGTCTGGAGCTGGCCATCCGGTTTACTTTGCCTTGGGTTGCTTGGCTAGGCCAAAGCAAGGACGCCTGTTGCTTTATGTTGCACTCACTCCCTTTCCGTGCTTGTTCGGCGGATCTTAAGTTTGCTCACCTGTCTTGATGCCGGCAGCGGGCAGGGCTGCTGCGCTCGTTTTTTCGGGGGCCATGCAGAGATGGTACATCCTGGGATTCTGGTGTTCTTACGCCCTCATTGCGTAGGCTCGGTGCAGTCCAAAGGGTTCAAACTCCGAAGTCTTTATCAGCCGCAAAAGTAATAGCTTTCAAGCCCTGTCCAGATCTTCTCCTCCCTGCTACTCAGCCTGCGTGAGAATTCATGCACGTAAGAGGGCGTGTCTTGTGCCTGCGCTATCGGTTTGGGGGCCAAGCCAGCTGCCCGTCCCTCGCACTGAACTCGCACAGAGGCATTCTCGACGAAATCGACAGAATACGTGCAACTTGGATGGAAGGGGCAGCCGGGAGAAGGGACGGGCGGCGGACGCAAGGTTCAGGTGCGTGACACAGAAGTAACCGTCAGGTCCAGCGAGTATGTAATCAGTGTCACTGTTGGAGGGGATCATCGTTACAATCGTCATGACTGTTCACCCTACTTGAGGTCTCGCCGCGGTTGTGTTGGCTCCCACGCAGCAAGCACGACTCATCCCTGTGAGACAAACAGATGCGCAGACCACTGCAGCCTCCGGGTTCTAGTTTCGAGTGGAAGGTGATGCTGAACCGGATTTCCCTGTGCATGCCGCTGGGAATGCTAGCGCCCGCTTTTGGGAGTTCGAGCAGCGGAAATTGCGTTTAACCGTGCAACAGATCAAGGCGCAGCACCCCGATGGCTTCCAGAAGCGCGAGCTGTTGCAGCACAAAAAGTCCTTCGCTGCCACTCGGCCCGGACGACAGGTGGATTGTACTGTGAACCACGGCTAGAGCTCTGATGTTCAGCACTACTTGCTGTTTGTTTTGTCTTTCGTGTTGGTCATCGGGCTTCCTGCCATTGCAGCTATGACTTTGCCGGCGGCATGCCGTCATGTTCCTGAGAGCTCCTACTTTCGTTGCACTTCTGCTTTGTTTATGCAGTGTCCTGCTCAGGAACTTGAAAATGTTAGGGTTCGGTGTGCAGGCATGGTGGAGTGCAGGCTTCTAGAGTGGCGGGAGAGAGAGGACCGCAAGCCAAGGCCAATATTCAGGACGTGGTGGGCTGTGAGCTGGCGGACCTCGCAGATCACGAGGTGGGCAGGTTCTTGGATGTTTGAGTTTCTCTTTTCCTGTTAGGTCAGGAGGTTAGGGCGAGGGAAAGGTTCGGGGGGTCGCTTGCGTCTGAGGAGTTGAGGTTTCTCTGGCAACAAGAACGAACGGCTGCTTGATCTGTTGGAGAGTCCCACCATCCGCACGATCCGCCTGCAGGTGCGCAATGTTGTGAAAGCACGATGGAACCGGATTCGCACGGCCATGCGGATGTATGTCGACTGGCGGCAGAAGGTACTATACACCAACACTTCAAAGCCCCTCTATCAAGGCCAATATGTAATTCTGAACAACAGGCTTTGGAGATGTTAGGCCTTTCTGGGTTCAGAAGCCAAAGGCCTAGGGCTTGTAGGGGTTGCTTGCGAGTCTTGGCCTTGCGTTTTGTGGAGTTTTCGTCTGCGACCTAGGATTTGGAGCCGGGCACGTCATCGAATCGAAGAACTTGTCTTTCTGAACTAAGTTCATTTTGAATGATCCGTTTCTGCTCAGAAGGGATAGATGCCAAAAGGACGCATGGTGCAGGGGGTTTCAGGGTGTTGGGTTAAGGGTCTACTAGGGTCTTCTTCCAGATTTCCCAAACATGATGCTTACTGAGGGTTTTGCTCTCCGGCCTGTCCTTAAGTCTATAACATCTGAAAGAGGTTATGGGTTCGGATGACAACTCAGAACATAAAACGTTCCCGAACCTTGTGTCGCCGAACCTTCAACCCCAGTGTCCAAAGCGTTCAGACAGCCCAGGCGAAGATGCAAAGCAGCATTCGGGATTCCTCCAAGTGAGCCCTGAGCATTTTCGTGTTCATCCACGTTTGAGTGGACAGGCCTCCCACCCGATACCCTAAGCCCTGAGCTCACCTATAAAGTGTCTAAGAGGAAAGCTTTGTGGGCTGTGCCAATCAGCTGAACGCTACGACGACGCTACGAACTAAATTCACGAGATGTGGCAGTAAGACTGCTGGTAATCAGAACAGCAGCAACTATCACACATCAATTCTCACCACAATAATGATGAGTGTAGAGGGTCGAGCACCTCAGGTTTGTGGGGTGCGGCCCGCATACCTTTCAAGCGACAGTGATTCAATGCAGGCGACACGAAGCTCCGCAGTGTTAGCAAAGGGACATTTAGAAGCCGCCGGCAAGGAGGGCTGCTCGGATCATAGACCAGCAAGGGGCTGAAATCCCCTTCAGAACTTCAGCGAAGCTGCGACTTAGGGTATCCAGAAGCGACTGAAACCCGAAGCCTCAACTTTAAAGGTTTTTTGGTACGTTGAGCAGTGCAGTCTAGCCCCAAGAAGTAAGCCTTTTTATTCGGATTATACATTTGAAGTTTCCGCTTGGCCAAGCGACCTTGGGCCCTAAACTCGCATCTTCTCCGCGCTCAGAGAGTTCAGACTGGATTCTCCATCAGGCGTGTGCAGCAGGTCGAGCAGCAGCCCTAGACAGGTGAGGACGAATGCTTCCATGTGGTGGCTGATAGGGGCCATGGAAGTTCTGGAAATGGCTCGCCTGCTGCCACCTGCCCCGTAAAATGGCTCCTTCATCCTCGAGCCCTGGAGCCCCAAACATCGCGCAAGGGCTCTCAGCAAGAGCGTGGCTCCCCAGGCCGGCTGCTTCGAGGGGAAGGGATGAAGAGTCGAACTTTTAAAGCCCGTGCAGGCAGTTAATGTTGTCTTGGAGGGCCCCAAGGGCCCTCCAACCGAAGCTTCGCAATCCACGCGGCGTGCGAAAGAAAGAACCTGAGGGCCAGACGAAGGTTCGAGATTTCTTTCTCAGCCTTCCAAGTCGAACCTGATCCTTGGGTCTGGGGGAAAGCTGAAATTTCAACAGTTGCCAGGGCTTCAGTGGTTTGACTTCATGGGCTTGCTGTGTTTAGTTTTTGGGAAAAAGGAATCAATCTCAAGAGCCTAGACCTGGAGGTCTCAGTGTGTTCCTTTTTGGGCGTGCTGAGGCTTCTGCAGACTGGGCTACCCAGAGTGCTTGACGCCACCATGTCACCTCCGCTTCCGCTGTTGGGCACGAGCAAGGGGGGAACCGGACGATTGCGCCAAGTCCCTCCGATCCGTTCTATTGAAGCCAATGCCGGCGCGGGCCCGAAAGCCAATTAATAGGTTTCATGATGAAAAGCTCAGGAAAGCTGAAGCCTAGTTCCAAGTTTCGAAGCTTCGGTGGGTGTCGTGGATTGGAATTTTCGGACTTCTGGTGGTTGAGACTTCCATCGGATCATAACGGATCGGGTCGGGGCGCAGGTTTCCATCGCATGATTCCCCGGGTGCGACTGTGACAAATAAGACTGCTGCAACTAGAGTGGCGGTCGCCGGGTCATGTAATTGTGCTACTACACGACCTATGTGGAGGTGCGAACCATGTTGGCCGCCCTGGCCTTCGCACCTTTGGCCATAGCAAGGCCGGGTTCACAGTGGCTGGGCTCTGCGATGTGTGCGCGTTGGTGTTGGTGTCCTTCTTGTTCTTATGAGCAGAAGGATCCACGGAGAACGGCGGAAGTTGACCGTGTCTCACTGTCGCATCTATCCTTGCCTAGTATGACCTTGTCCGAGTGTGAAAAATTTGCCTCTTGCCTCTTGAATACGTCGACCTCGGAGCTTCCAGCAACTGCACCACTCGGACACAGCATGGGTGTCCCTACAGGATCTGGAGCCCGGAACTCAAATCCCTAGTATAGGGGCTTAAATAATTACCAATACTATTTTTAGGGTTTGGCCCGAGCGTGCACTTGGAGTGCCGGCTAGAACCCCAGTGCTTTTCCTTTAGCCACGGCGCGGCCCAGCCCGTCTTGGCATAGGAACTCTCGAGCACGTCGACACCGCGCGCGAGGCAGGATCTGGAAGCACCGCCTACAGGGTCTGCAACCCAGCCGCCTCGACTTAGCCCTACTGTGGGCTCACCACTCAAAGCCGACTTACTGCCATATGGGCAAAAAAGGAGGATGGCAGAGCCGACAGAAAGGCCAAGGCTACGAGGAGGACGAGTACTACAGGGACTCAGGGCACCATCGAGATGGATCGCAGCCCTGGCGTGCACGGCAGGAGCCTTGGCATGCATCCAAACGCGATGCAGCCCCGCTCCGGTACGACCAGATGAAGCCATCTACCCTGGGACAGCCCAATGCCCCCGGCCGGGCTACGGAGGCGGTCTCAGAGTATATGCAAGCTGTGAGCAAAGCACTTGCAACATCCAAGAGATGCGAAGGCCGCATCAAGCGCTTGGCGGAGGACAAGGAGACACGCAAAGCGCAGTGGGCAGCATACGAACGGACTATGAAGGCGGACTTCAGCAAACAGCGCCGACAGTTCGTTGCAGACCTCGAGAAGATGGACAACGAGGTGGCCCAGCTGCATGCACAGGGCAGCGAGGCCGCCACCTACGTTCGACGACTCATCGAGGGGGGCCAGGCAGCTCTCCCTCGAAGGGCAGTCGAAGACGAGGACACAGCCTGGGACGAGCTCATGGGGATACCGGAGCCGGAGGCACCGGTCACGGCTTTCTACCAAGATGCCCTGGCAGCTGTACAACAGCTCGACCGACGAGACTTGGCAGCGAACTTTCCGAGTCAGGCACCCCAGGCCTCCTTGCCTGCGAGAGACGGACAGATCGGCGACCAGCAACTGGGATCTGGAGATGTACGCGGCGCTGCCTTGGGCCACGGGGGGGGTGTCCATACGTACTGTGCACAGTCACCAGTACGTATGGACCTACCTACCCAGATGCCTCAGGATATGTCTGGACGCCCGATGCAGATCTCTCCGGAACTACGCCCTGCGCTTGCAGAGCCCCCAGAATATCGGCCGGCCGCGGCGGAGGCCAGCTATCGTTCGTCGCCTTATCCGCCTGGGAGAACAACTCAGCGGCCCCCGCCACCTACAGAACCAGTGCCTGCACCTACTCCTCTTCCGTCTGGGCCGCAAACTGGCACCCCTGGACAGCAAGCTCTACAAGGTCGCATCGAACAGAAGCGGTCGGCCCTTCAGCCCTTCGGTGGACGGCCAACCGGCCCTGGAGAAGGACTGACGACCCTCAGCTCTGGCCCTCCACCAGGACTGCCGCCATCCTTTCTGGACGACGATCCCGACCTCAGAGCAGATGCCACACAGGAGGCCACAGACATCGATCCGGAGGAGTGATAGCTGCAGCATCCCCTCGGCGCCGCAGACCTGGCACCTATGGCCTTCCTCTGGTGGGTCCGACTGCGCTGAAGATACACGGGCCTCATGGGGCCTGGCTCGTTGTATCCTCGCATAGTCAGCAACCCGTCGGAGGCAGTCCAAGGTGCCCTGTTTGGACCGCCGTGCACTCTGAGCGCAAGTGAAAGTGCCACATCGCGTGTACAGGGTGTACAGTGTTGTGCCCTTTTTCTTGTACATATCTGTGCCTCCGCCTTCGGTTCCCCTCCGGCACAGGTACCTGGACTTGGGTTTGGTCCTGTACCTATGCCCTGGCACCTGGCTGCATTTCCCTGCTTCGTTACCGCTCAACACTCTGCCAGCGGATGCCCTTCTTGCCCCTCTGACCGCCCTCATTGGGCATTAGCCATGCATGCCAGTTTTGGATTTTGGCAACATGGCTGCAGTTCCCACTGGACTTTTGCCGCCTGCCTGTACCCTCCCTTAGCGCGGTTTAGTCCCAGGGTCCTGTCCCTTAGTTCTAAGGTTGTAGGAGGTGGATTTTTGAACATTCCGGCCACTCCTCCCTTCAGACCCGTGTTGTGGGAAAAGGGGTGCCCTCGCCAATGCGCCTGCGGTGCCCCCGGAGCAGAGCACCAAAGAGGTGTATCGGTGGTTCTGGGACACTCGCCTGCTCCCCCACACATTGCTGCCTCCCGCGATCCCGGCGCTGCCGTTGATCTCTGTGATGCTGTCGCGGCGACCGTCTGCCCTTTCTTTTGCAGTCTTGCAGCGCTTGTGTTTGTGCAATTGTTGCGCCTCCTCCTGCAGTCCGCCGGAAGACGGTGCCCCTGCATCAAGCACGTTGTTTGCCGCCCCAACGCGCCTTGTGC